TGCTATGCTGGTACTTGACTAAGCCATCTCTAAACCTTTTCTTGGGCAAACTAGGAAAAATACCAAACCAAAACAAAAATTGTCTTTTTTTTATTATTTAAGGCAGATCTTTCATATTGCAGCCTTTAATTCCTGCAGCCTCTACCATGGAAGTTTTATGAGTCATTAAATACTAAGGTGTTGGAAGATCCCCTGAGTGCCAGAGGACATGGCTTAATGTGATGGTGTGTGTCTTTTGTCACTTGATCAGAATGAGGCAGATGAGTCAGCAATTGAACTCTGGTGATCTTTCACTGGAGTAAGCATTGTTTCTCATTACATTGTAGCAATGGTACAGTCTGAATAGGAGAGAAAGCAGTGGAATCTAATTGATGATGAGAAAAGCTGTTTTCACTTTAGTCTCTGTTTATGAACGAAGCAATGGCTACAAACATGCATCCCAAATGTCCATCACCCTCCCTCATTGACTGTTCAGTAGGAAGAATTCTCTTTTTTTTTGTACAAAGCATTTTCTCACACAGTGATAGTGCAGCACAGGGGAATGCTCCATACATTTCCTGTGCAGAAGAGAAGCTGCAGCACTGGGTTGCAGATGAGGGTAAAACCTAACTGTAAGGCACATTTACAGTCCTGCAGCCCACTGTCAAGATCCTTGCCTTCCCACTGCAGCTGAAAGTGGCTTCTCCTCACCACAGAACCAATGCACAGAGGATCCTTTGTTTTTTGTTGCATCCTGTGTCTTGGATTGATGTAGCAGTGAAGTAGGTTGAAATCTGGAATTTCAGATTAGTTTGTTGTACTCCACTTCTAATTGTAGGCTTCCCAAGAATCAGCAGTGTTGGACTGCACCATAATATTTTTGCCTTGCTGCTCAAAATTAATTTTTTCAGTCTTCAAAATGTACAAATTTGGATGAGAAAGCTCAGCCCAGAAGGGAGCAAATTATCTCCCTCTCCCCCACATCTATGTCATCACTATTATCTCATTTACCCTGGAACAGTAAGAAATGTAGAGGAATCCAGCTATCTCACTTTATTTCCCTTGGTGGATGTCACAGAACATCTCGTGACCTAGCAAGCGTCTCAAAGCAATGTGGGGATTTCAGCAAACAGCCAGTTTAATTACTGGTGAAGTGGTTGCAACTTCTTTAGTCACATTGAACAAGACTTTCTATTTTTCCTCTAAAAATCCTGACAACAGAGAGCCACGAGTTTTTCAGGGTGGCACAGGTTATCAAATGACAGCTTAGGCAGCAAAGCCAAGTGTCACTCTTAATGCACTGACACCTGCAAGTCTCAGTCGTGGACCCGAATATTATCACCCTGGGGCTATCTACAACCCTGGGCTTAAAAAAGTGCTCCCCTCCAAAAAAAATTTGGCATACCTAAGGTTTAGCTGAGAGAAAAATGTTGAGTCTTCAAGGCTGCTCTAGTTACCTCCTATAATATCTCTTGTACTTGAGCCTTGTGGAATTTTGGGCAATAGTGTTTTCTGTATGGGGAGTAGGAAGAGACAGACCTCTTTTGAGGGAATATCAGACACAACCATCCTTTGCCACCTGCTCACTGCCAACCAGTGCTTAGAGGGCAGTCAGAAGAGTGAAGATGAGAGCCTTGGATGCCTCTCCTGACCACTCTTGAGTGACAGAGCCAAGCTCTGCTCTGAGCCAAGCCTGCATGCACTCTCCCCAGTCAGCCCCCAGATGCTCACTGAAGATCTTTATAGCATCTTTGCACCTCTTTTCCAACTCAGAAACATTGTGCAGTCACTTTGTGCATCAGATATGGGAGATATGCACTTTAATGCATCTTTGAGACGCCCAGGTGTAATGTGAACAGCTGTGACAGTGAGATCCCCAGCATGAGGAGGACAATAACAGCTCCAGTGTGCAAGGATGAAGTCCAGCTGGCAGCTGAGGTTCATTCCTCCAGCCAAGGCAGTACAAATGTGCCCTATGTGAGTCACAGCAGGGATGATGTTGTACGGCAGCAATTAATTTGTTTCTAAGGCAAACGAGTCCAAATGGTAAAGGCTTTTGCGAATGGAATTTACTGTTCCAATGTAAATAAGGAACTGGCAAACAATAACCACTCCAGCCTGAAAGCCCAGCCAGCAACTGGTTGACATTTGGGATGCAGAGAGTTTGCAGATTCCCCACGAGTTGGAGAGGAGCTGTGTTTTGCAGCAACAATTGATTTATTACTGTGACAACGAGTAGAAATAGAAGGACCTGCTGGCAGACAAGGGTGTGATTTGTTCCTTTGCAAACAAGCAAGCAGTGTCCAGCTGGCCAGTGGCCATTGCCAGGCAAAAGCCATGGGGAGGATGCAAGTTTTGTCTCCTCTCTGCTTGAGTTTTGCCCCATAAACAGTGATGGAATTAGGGGGTTTTTTTGTGTTTTTTTTTAATTGTACGAAGACAGACTTGTAATTAGTAATATTTCTAAAAAGTGAGTAAGTAAGGGGGAGGCAAAGGTCAGGCTGTCTTCTAGATATTTCGCTTCTCAAGCAGTAGGATGACACTTTAGCTGTTATTCATGAGCAGAAAGTAATTCTCATTTGTATTGCAGCAGCCCCTGTAAGGACCAATCAAGGTCCCATTGTGCTGATGCCTGACTGGGGGCCGTGAGCAGAAAATTGCTGGTGCCTGCTTGGATGCAGTTCAGAAACATCCATTTTTTTGCCATGTAAGGTTTAACATGAGCACATTCTGATCAGCAAAGCACGTAAGTGCACGTTTAGAGCAATGTCTTTCCAGCCAAGTGCCTCAGTGTTTCAGTCCTCTCAAAGAGAGAGGAATTTAAACGTGTGCAAAAATGTTCAGCTGGGCCTGGGCATTCAGACAGGGCTGCTGCCTATGGGCCTCGCATCTTCTGAGTGTTCCATGCATAAAAGAGGGTTTTCTTCTGAGGCAGGGTTTGGGGGATGAGGGGACAACATGTCCATATGAAGTTCCAAGCCAGTTTATTTTCTCTCCTGGGCATGTTCTAAGCCTGCCCCTCTGAACTGGCACCATTCAGAAAGCTGCACTTAGTGGGACCACGGGAGACATTTTACAAATGCATCAGGGGTGTGAGCATCAAGACAGATGAATCATTTCCATTTTCTGAAACAAAATATTGAATTGTAATAGTCTGAAATTAAGGTATGAAAAATGAGGGTGAATGAAAATAAAACCATGCCAGTGAGAAGAGCTGTCTGATTATGGAATCATCTTGATGGAACACAGGAAGAAACCAAAATGACATGTAGCATTTCATGGTGGTTAATCTGGTACAGACTAAGTCAGAAGGGTTAATTCTTTACTGGTTGACAATAGACAAGTTGAGGGATATAAGTAGTTAAAATCAATAAGACAATGAATACATAATTTACGTGAGTAGGGAGAAGAATATTTGTGATGTATCATTTTTGCTGCAAAAGTAATAATAAGAAAAAATCAACAGAGACCTATAGCTGGCTACAACTACTTCATATTCTGGATGTTGCATAAAATAGCCGTTATTTACTATGCTAGTATGCCTGGAAAACATTGACTTTGTAAAGCTGATAACAGTAATGCAGTGGAAACATTGTCTGGGATCAGTGGAGTGCATCGTACTGATAAAGAATTTCCCTGCTCTTATAGTAATTGAAGCTGCAGTTGGTTTCTTTGCACAGTAAAACAGTCTGAGGCTGGCAGAAAGTTTACTAAATCTTCCCTTTGCAGTGCCCAGCAATTTGCTGCCTTCATGCTTGCCTGAGTTTCTGTGGCTTTGAGAGTCCTAACACAGAACCTGTGAGCTCTAGCACAGACACTAATGAATATAGATAATTTCCATTTTTAATGCATTTCACTGTTGTGGATTGTACAGGTTACTTCCTTATACAATGGGGAATCAGAACATGACCCCAAAGCACTGGGGTCAGCATTTGTGTGCATCATTATCAATGAAATCGGTAAACTGATGTACTGAAAGTAAGAGGGTTTTTGTAGGGATATACAGCAGAGCATTCAGTCTTTATTTCCATTTTGACATTTTATTTTAAAATAAATTTGCCTAATTAGACTACTGTAAAGATTTCTCTTCCTTTCTGCTTCCATTATATATCTTTAACTGATCAGGATGATTTAGCAGTACTTGACTGTCCACATGTTAAAAAGATATTCAGGGTTATTTTTACATGAGAAGACAAAAAGCAACTTTAAAACACCGGCAACTTTCTCACCTACATATGAAAGCAACAAGAAAAGAAACAATTAAATGGCACAGCTTCTCCTGGAGCTCTCAGACCTTTTCATAATTTTTATTTTTCTCTTGCAATTTACACAAGCGTGCCTTCTACATTAGCCTGGCTCACTTGGCTCCATCATTCCCTATAAAATTCCTAAGACAGGGAAAGCTCCCACTGAATTCAAGCCTAATACAGTTCATTGCAGGAGGAGAAACCAATTTTGGTCTTAGTGAGATATCTACAGCTGAAGCAAGTGTATTTAAGATATATTGTCCTGAGCTGACTTTCACACTCGTGTTATGTTCCTGCAAGTCCCAGTGAAGTTTGGCTTATACCAGGCAGTGCAGAACTTATTACCCACATCATTGAGGACCCTCTGCCTCCAAGGGGAAGTGTCTTGTGAAAGTTGGTGTGGAAGGAAACACTGATAATCCCAAATGGACAGTCCAGGTAAACTAGTTGAGTAGAGAGTGAGCCAGTTCCTCAAAAACCTGGGTGGGCAACAAGTGCATTATCCTGTGCATGTGCCCAGTATCTGTTCTACCTGTGCAAGTAAGGTATTGTAAGGTTTTTTGGTGGATATAGGACCGAGGGCTGCATTGAAAGGGAGGAGAGAGGAAGTAATTCTGCTTAGCATAATTCACAGGGACTCTGCTCTATTTGTTTGAGCATATCTGGCAATGCAGATGTGGCTGGAAGAGGGTTATGGGGTTTTTTCACAGAATCACAAAATATTCTGAGTTGCAAGAGACCCACAAGGATCATCAACACCAACTGTTAAGTGAAAGGCCCATGTGGGGATCAAACCCACAACCTTGGCATTATTAACACCCTGCTCTAACCAATTGAGTTAATCTCAGTGGATTTGTGTCTTCTAGTATAGTTATTTGTTAATTTCTATTCCTTAATCTCTACTTTTTAATGTATATTTGAATGTTCTGTTTCAACAAACACCGGTTTGTAACTCTTTTATCCAGTCTCAGGTGAGCATTTTGGGTAGTTATTTAAAAAATCCATATATATAGAATACTTGGGACTGAAAACAGTCTTGGTTTCTCCTCTTTAGCATTTTTATCAGCTACATTCAAATAGTACTTTAGGCAAAAAGAAATCTGCCCAAAGGGTTACTGGAACAGCATCACTGTCAGCTTCACCTGCAAAAAGTTATGAGTGCCCTTAGCTCAGCAAGGGACAGATGATGCCTGGTCCTCAGCCCTCCTTCTCTTTGATAGGAGCTGGCTCTGCCTCCACATGTTCACATTCCCCTTGACCCATGCACAGACCAGAGAGGCCATTTCAATTAACCTTGTGTGGCACTGCCACACCTGCAGGACTGAGAGGCTCTCCCACATGCCTGACAGCAGAAAACAGTGCTGTTCTACTACTTCCCATCATTTTGTTGTTTTTTTAAAGTCTCTTCAAATAACAGATACGTGTTAGTCCAGCAATAAAACCCCAGCTGCTGATGGCTGTTTCTGCCTGAACCTGAGCCTGTCTCCAAAGTGAAGGTGGCTGTGACATGCCAGCCAGAGTGTGGTGTGGGCTGATGTGTTAAACACCTATCACTTCCGTAAGAATAATGCTGTGTGTCACTAATTATTCCAGCCATCTCCCACACTTCTAGAAGCAATTTCCACTCTATTAAGTTCTCCTGTTTATGGTGTCCAGGAAGCCAGAAACAGACTTCATTTTTATCTACAGTTTAGAAATCATCACCAATCTGCCATTGGGTGTGTTATTAAATTAAGACTATTGAATCAGATTCTGCTGGCAGCTATTTGATGTCAAACTTGGATTAATCCTGAATTTACAGCTGTGATTGATGTTATTCAGGAACAAAAAGTTTTTCACTTCAAGTATTTCACTTCAAGTTTTAACTTGAAGTTTTATTACAGGCTGTTTTAAAGATTCAAAGTTTTCTAGAAGTAGCCAGGGCTGGCTGCTAGGGCAGATATCTCACAGGATAACTTCTCCAGAGGATAGCTTGATCTGCTCACTGTGCTCTGAGATTGCTTGCATGGTGAACTGAGGAACTTCCGTATGAGAAGGGATATCAGCTAAAATTATAGTAGCTCTGTTTTGTTCTCCATAATTCTGGTCAATGGGCTTTCCATAGAAGGGTACTACATTTCTTCCCCAGACTCCCAATTTCCTATGTAAACAGTGACCCCTTTCCTTCATACACCTGTGAGTCCAAAGTAAAGTTCCTGTGCAGCAAGAGTAAGGAGAGATCCAGGTGGTTTATTCAGATTTTTCTGCACTTGGATGTATTCTGGCTATCCAAGTCCTGGTTCCCAGGTGAAGGGCATTAAATACTAAGGACAGGGCTCTCCTAGGAGAGACAGCTGTGCTGCAGAGTTTCCCATATGTGTCTGGAGATGCTCTCACTTGGAATGCCTTTCATTCATTAATTTAATTGCATAGACTCAGCCAGAGTGCCCACAAAGTGCTTGGGAAGAACTGGATATGGGAAAAGCACTGCTGGGTTGAGTGGTGTAGCATGTCCCCACTCCATTCAGAGCACAGAAATGAAACCTGCAACAAGCATGGGGCAGTTTCCCCTTTGGAAAGACTTCAGAGCTTGTCCCAGCTTTGGACTTGAGAAAGTCCTGTGTCAAAGACTGGGGATGCCAGAGCCTTTGGATTGTGCTGCTTACTCTCTGAGAAAGGGCTGCTCTAACCCTCCCCTCCCACTCCCAAGACTTCGAGAGTTTAAAATCCTTTTTTTTTTTTTACTCTACCTTGTAATAAAGGAAAATCAGCTCTGCTGGGTTGTGTAGACTATTAAAACAATAGAAAACGAACAACCCCTAGGTCTCTCCATTCTTTAAGGAGCAGAGCCTTCTGTCCAGCCCTAATTTCAAAGCCAGTGGTTTATGATAGTTTCCTAATCTGCAAGAGGTGTCCTCCTAGGGACCCAGAAAGCCTCTTGTTTTGCACCTGCAGGATTACCTGCTTCTCTCCAATCTCACCATGTGCTGCCAGCCTGCCCTGTCCTTCCACCACTGCCCGTATCTCCCCCTGCTCCTGAAGAGTTTCCACAGCATGAGCAAGGCAAATAGGCAAAAATCCATCCTGCCCACACACAGCCTTTTAAGAACACATGACTTATAGCAACAAATCCGACAAATAAGGTCCCTAGTGCAGCAAGACACACTGAGACCTGTCTGGGCTACAGCAGCACCAAGGTTGTCTTAAAACTCCTTCTACACTGTCAGAGCATGGGCAGAGCCCAGTGCTCAAAGGCATAACTCACTGGAGAAATTATCCCATAAACTTATTTCTGATAAAAGAGGCTTATTTTTTATTTAATGTCAGGTTAAATAAATCACAAAGCACGGCAGTGAGGATTTAGCACTTGCAGTGCTAAACTGTATTACTTAGCATTAACACAATGCTTTCCTCATTCAGGAAAATGCTTTTGCTGACTTAATTCACTCTCAGCTACCCTTTGCGTGTCACAAGCGAAGTCAGGAACATTTAATATTCCTGCTGGTAGATAAGGTTGGACTCACACAGCTTTATTAGTTTCCCTCCTCTCCCACCCTCAGCATCCCAGCTGAGTGAATTTTTTCTGGTTTGCAGCCCATATTGTAACCTGGAAGCCTTCAGCAGTGCAAGGGATAGGAGCCTGTCCCTTAGATGCGAGCCAGCTATGGTCCTGGCCAGGCAGCCAGGAAGAGGAGCTGAGGCTGCTGGCAAGCAAGGAACAGGTCTCAGCAGATGAGATAGAGTGAGAAAGCGGCTCTAGAGGCTAAGAGCTGGGATGTGGAGAGCAGGATGGGGGTGGAGGGGTGCTTGGGCTGAGCAGGTACTTATAGTGGCTCTTTGTCTTAGGCAGGAGAGAATTTAGGACAAATGCTGGTGGAAGGATTTGGGTACAGAAATGTTTAGGCATTGTTTGAATTATTTACTTGATGGAGGTATGTAAGGAAGGACATCGTAACAGGTTGGGGAAAAGGACATTAGGTCAGGCACAGGGCTGGGGCATGGGGATAACAAGCAGGTGTCCCTGGAGAGAAGCAATTTGAGGTGTGAGGGTAATGTTGGGAAAGGCTTTCAACCTAGGGAAGCAGGGGCTGATTTCCATGCTAGGAGAGGTACAGGTGTTCCTGAGGAGTAGCTGCTCTTCACTGCACACCTGCCCAGCCCCTACACGGCACCCCTGCTCCCCGCTCCCAGAAGGACAGGGCACTCCTCCACCCTGCATACCACTCTGCCAGGGAAAAGGGACAAACAAGGTGCCAGGAAAGAGCACAGAGCCCATCCCACAGCTCCTCCAGTCACTGCTCCTGTGGGGTGGATGCCACAGGCCCACTGCTTGCCCACGTCCCAGGAGAAAGTCCCAAAGACCTGCAGGGGGATCTTGGACATGAGGTGCCCAGGGATAGGTCATGGTTCATGTTGCTGCTTTCCACCTGGGCAAGGGGCTCCATAGCATAAAAGGGAACAAATAAAGACAGCTACTCTAGCCCTTAAAACATTTGGGATCCCACTTCTCATTTATGTAAATACATCTGTGTGCCAGTGCTCCCCTCCCTCCAAGCTGACGGAACTCCTAGTTTCAATGGATTTCTCTGGTACACACCAGACTTATTACACATACAGTTTTTACACCAGACAAATTTAGACTTAGGTAGATGCCACTTGCTTTTGGAAAGGATAGTATTACACACTGATGTTGATTAATTAGTATATTAATTAATGAAGAAGATACTGATTAGTGCCTACTGCTTCTGTAACTAACATTTACAAAGTTTGCAGTTATTATAGGGGAAGGATATGTTATTTTAAAAAATAACCTAATAATATGTTTATTCAGCTAGATATTTTTACCATAAATCAGTTGGAGACTATACTATTTTGTTAAACTTTCTGGGCACTTACTTTCAAAGAGTTAAAGTTTCTTATTTAGAATTACTCAACTTAACTTCCTTATAAACTTCCCTTGATTTAGTAGATTGATTTAATCATGATTTAACTTACAGTTTTAAAAAGCTACTTAATTATAAATCCTTCCTGAAAGATCCCTACATATATAAACCATGCTGTAATTAATAGCTAGAACAAATATTTTTAAATTTGCTCCTTAAAATACATTGATTCTGTTCTGCATCTCTGCTCAAAATACAGTTTCATGTCCCATTGAAAATGACACTTTTTCTGGAAAAGAGAAACAGAAACCTATCCAAAAAGTTGACCCCAAAGTACATTTTACAAAATGAAGCCATTTATTCACTCTAATATTCTGCACACAGCATATGCTTTCAGTATCTCTAGGCTCAAACTGCTTGTAACATTCTGCTGTAAGCCTGAATCTAATACAAGTGAGAAGCTGTTTTAATTTTTTTAAGGGGCAGTTCCCCTAGCTGCAAAGGCATTGAAGAGAGCCTGGAAGACACAATCTGTGCGATGCTGCTCTTTATTGTCACAGGTACAAAGTTCTGATGTGGCAATGTTGCACATTTGGGTCATTGAACATTTATGGATCAGGAAGGACTTTTGAGTCTCTGAAATGGTTACAAATGTTTTTTTGTCAGAACACACTCAATATAAGCAGTCTGATCACAGTGGAGTCCTACTGTTTTATTTTGGGTTAATAATAGTAAAATCTTACCAACTGTTGATGGAGAAGCCATGGGGTTAATTTATACTCATGTTGGAAAAGCAAAGCAGTGCTCCCTCCCAACTCTGACAGATCTGCATGTCCCTTCCATAGCTGATTGTCAGGTTGTCCCGATCTGTAGCTTGGCGCTGACAACAGCTCACAGTTTATTTGCAGCTTTGAAGCCTGGTCCTATAGTGTTTCTCTTCTGACAGGAGATGAATAAAGGTGTCACTGTGGGAGACTTTTAT